CCCGCCCACCTTAGCGAACCGATGGCAGGAGGGGCCCCGGGGGACAGGGCTGTCCCCAGCCCACCCCGCTCAGCACCCTGCGTGGGTGGCAGGGCACCAAGGCTCCCTCCCGCCGGGCTTTGTCAGAGCTGCCTCATTAGAGCTCATTAGGAATGTGCTAATGAGGAGCGGGGGCGGGAAGAAGGGAGCCGCGGGGCTGCTTTCCTTTTCCCTTTCCCAGGGCTACAGGGAGGGCCCTGGGAACAGCACCGGGCTGAGCTCCTGCCCCAAACCAACCCAGCCACGCTGGGAATGGGTCCCATGGGGCAGGGACCCCACCTCACCCCACACCCACCAAACCCCAACCACGGGTGGGGGTCACTTCAGTGCCCCCAACACCACAAGGCCCGTGGGGGCACAGGGTGCCACATCTAAAAATGATTTATTGCCCTGGGGGGCATCATGCTGGCGCTGCTGTCCCCCCGCAAGGGTGGAGGGTGCTGGAGGGGCTGGGTGAGGACTCCCCCCACCCTCTGAGCCCCGTGCTGAGCTCCTACACCTTCTTGTTGCCCCACTTGGCCATCTTGTTGTTGATGGGCATCTTCTGGAAACGGCTGGACTTCAAGTAGGCAGCCACCTTCTCCAGAGCCTGGGGACACACACAGAGGGTCAGGGGTGCCCCCACCGCGGCAGCCCCACCCAGGGGTGGCCTTGGGGTGCCCCTGCTCACCCCAAAGCGCTCCACAAAGTCCTTGAGGTTCTTGAAGGGCTCCAGGCACTTGGGCTCAAAGATGCGGTTCTGATCCAGCACGTCGAACATGAGGAAGTCCACGAAGGTCAGCTGGGGACATCAGGGGACACATAGTGAGGACAAACCCCCTCCCCAGCCCCGCAGCCCCCACGGGAGCCCTGGCAGTACCTTCTCCCCTGCAAACCACTTTCTGTCCCCCAGGAAGTTGGAGAAGAGCTTCAGCTTCCCCGGGAGCTGCTCCAGGTAGCCCGGCTTGAGCTTCTCCTGAGGGAGAAGGGAAGGAAAAGGTGAGGATGGGCAGCCCCAGCCTGCCACTCTGGGGAGCACCCTCCCAATCTGGGGTTCCCAGTGCTGGCACAGGGTCTCCAATGCTGGCACAGGGTCCCCCAGCCTGCAGCACACTCACAAAGTCAGGGTTGTAGCAGACCATGACAAGGCTCATGCGGAAATCCATGATCTGGTTCTCCAGCATGTCCACACGCAGGATCTCCTCCTCTGTCTCACCACCTGCACAGGGGGATCAGCACTGGGGGCCCAAACCCTCCCTGACCCCATCCCTGCTGCTCCAAACCCTCCCTGACCCCAGCCCTGCTGCTCCAAACCCTCCCTGACCCCAGCCCTGCTGCTGGTTGTTGGTCCCTTTAACCCCAACCCCATGCTCACCCCCACTCCATCCTACACCCCAATCCAACTCCAACCCCAAACCAAACCCAACTGAGCCCCAATTCAGTTCCAACCCTACTCCAATCCCAACTCCAGCCCTCACTCCAAACCCAGCTTTAATCCCACTCCAACCCCAACTCCAATCCCACTCCAATCCCAGCTTTAATCCTACTCCAAGTGCACTCCAGCCTAATTCCAATCACACTCCAATCTCCACCCCATCCCACTCCAACCCCAGGTTTAATCCCACTCCAATCCCAACTCCCATCCCAGTTTTAATGCCACTCCAGCTGCACTCCAGCCCCACTCCCATCCCAACTCCAAGCCCACTCCAACCCTAAATTTAATCCAAATCCAGCCCAACTCCAATCCCAAATTTAATCCCAANAATAAAATAAAATAAAATAAAATAAAATAAAATAAAATAAAATAAAATCTGTTTCTAGCTTCCAGGGGGATGGAACTACAAGGATCCAGGTCCATGGGGCAGAGGGACAGGAGATCCTTTCCCCACAGCATGCTGGACCCCATCTCTATGGATGCTCCATGCAGCACCATCCCTGCCATCACCCCAGCTCAAATCCATCCCTCCTGCCCAAATCCACCCCTCTGGTTCAAATCCACCTTCCTGGAGCCCCTTCCCTGCCGTGGGTGCCCCCTGGTGCTGCTGGGCTCCCCTGGGCACCTGCGATCCCCGATTCCAATGCTGGAGCTGGGTGGATTCCACTCCTCCCTGGAGCAACGGGATGTTGCTGGGGGATTAAATGTAAAAGAGGAAAAAACCCAGCAAAATAACAAAAGAAAACATCTCTAAGGGTGATGGCAGAGATGGTGCTGCATGGAGCATCCACAGGGATGGGGTCCAGGATGCCATGGTGGGGAAAGGATCTCCTGTCCCTCTGCCCCATAAACCTGGGTCCTTGTAATTCCACCCCCTTGGAAGCTAGAAACAGATTTTATTTTATTTTTTTTTATTTCTTTACATTTTATTATTTTATTCTATTCTATTTTAATTTAATTAAATTAGTTTATTAATTTAATTTCACTTTTTTATCCTTTATTTCATTATATCTGGTTTCTTTTATTTTATCTGTTAAATTTATTTTCATTATGTTAATTTATTTTATTTATTTCATCTTATTTACCTATTTTCTTTTTTATTTGGTATATTTAATTTTATCTTTCTTCATTTCATTTCCTTAATTTTCTCTTTATTTTATTTAAATGGCAGAAATTGCTCAATTCCAGCCTCTAGACCCAGAAATTCTTTTTTTAGGGCTGAGGTGTCTCTGAGTCCAGACCATCCTGGCTGCTGCCCTCAGCCCTTCACTGAAAGGCCCCACGAGAATCCTACAGGGGCTGAATCCTGATTCTGATCCCACCTCCTCATTCCCACCTCCAGAGCCCGACCCTGGGATGACTCAGGGACTGTCCTGGGTTGTTAAGATTTGGTTTGAGGGTGTTCTATCACCATCTGTCAGAGCTGGGGCAGTTCTCTGCTGTTCATGGGACAGTTTTTTCTTTATCTCTCCCACACCCAACCCTCCCTCCAGGAGATCTCTGCTGTCCATGGCCAGTGAGTGTCCCTGCATGGCTGATCCCATTCCAGCATCCCCTGGGGAGATGCTGCGCCCAGGGGAGGAGCCAAGCATTCCTCCCTGGATCCAATCTGAGCCTGGCGTAGCACAGCAGCCTTTGCCCCCTGCATTGCCAGAGGAGCAGCTTTCTGCTGCCCTGCATGGCCAGAGGGAGCCCAGGCCCATCTGCAGCAGCCCTGGAGCTGCAGAGGAAAACTCCCCCCTTGTGCAGGATCCCTGCTGCAGCAGAGCCACAGCTGGCACTGCAGGAGGGCTGAGCCCCCATGGGATGGGCCTGGGACACCCCCTGACACACAGAGGGACAGGTTGTATTCAACACACAATGTCAGTGTGGGTTTTGGGGGGTTTTTGCACTATTTTATTTGTATTTTTAATTTTCATAGTAAATAACTGTTATTCCTATTCCCATATTGTCTGAGAGTCCCTTAATTTAAAAATTATAATAATTCAAAGGGAGGGGCTTTACATTTTCCATTAGCAGACACCTCTCTGTTCAAACCATGACAGGGACCCCCAGCTCTCTCCTGGCCCCTGGCCCAGCCTTGGCCAAGGCATCTCCAACCAGAACAGCTGGAGGCTGAGGAAGAGGAGGCACCAGCTCCGGTCCTGTGTTCCCCCAGATCAGTTGGTAGAGCAGGAGACTCAATCTCAGGGTTGTGGGTCTGAGTCCCACGTTGGGCGCCAGCTGTGAGATTGATCTGGTGGCAGTTTGGGTCCTCAGCCCTCACAATATTACACAGGACAAAGGCAAAATATGAGAGGTGGTCTTCTTCTCAGGACCAAAGTCCTATTTTATTCCTAGACAGGAGTCACCTCAGGATTCAGGCAATATCCCAGGAAAGAGAGGGGGAATGTCTCATTTTTAAGAGATTTTAAGCTCAGGGGAATGAGGGATGGAGGAACAGAACCACAGCCAATGGGATCCTGGTGAGGAAGGGGAGAGGGGAGGGGTACACCTGGGACAAACCATCACCACCAGGGCTTTTGGGGGGGGAAAGGGGAAATGGGACAGAGCATGTACCAGACCCAGTGCAAAAACCAACTAAATAAACTGTTTAGTGCAATACAACACCCAGGACCACCCACATCCTGCAGAACAACAAGGATCCCCCTGGGAAGCTGCTGGGAGCATCTCAGGAGGCATCAGCCACATCCCAGCTCTGTGGAGCTTGGCCTTCAATCTTCCCTGTCCCTCAAAAGCCACTTTGAGACTGAGCCAGGCCTGGGGGATGTCCAGGTGACAAATTCCCCCCCTCCCGGGGGATGCAGATTCCTCTGGCTCCTCCTGACCAGGGAATGGGCACTCCCAGGGATGAGTTGTTTCTCAAACCTTCAATGAATCACTCAGCATCTTCCAAACCAGGGTGAAAAGTCCCCGGATTTGTGTTGGATTCAGGCTGGGGATGCTGCCTGGGGCTGGCAAACCACAGACAAAGCCAGAGTGAGCATTCATGACTCCAGAGGTGTCTCTGGACAAAGTCTCTGTAATCTTCTTCAAAAAATTCATATTTTGGATCAATTTCAGGACCTGATCAACCTGTTCCCGGACAGAAAATAGTCCTGGATATTCACATCATCCAAGGGCACAGCCCTCCTGATGTCCAGCAGAAGATGCACTGGCTGGAATAGGATGGGTTCCTCCTCCTGCTCAGCTTCCCACAGGAACCACACAGTAGGGAAGGTAAAACACTTCCCATTCCTAATATTTATCCATGCAATTCTAATTGTTGGCAGGAGACAGTTGCTGTTTTGTGGGGGGAAACCAGCTGTTTGTGTCCCAGTAAGCCTGGACCATGCTGGAAGCAATGCTGGGGGGCCTGGGACACCTGGACTCCCATCCTGTGACTTTGGGAGGTGTCCAGGGGTGAGAGGTGGCACCTGAGGGCAGCAGCAGCAGCTGGAGTTTTGCTAGAACAGGTCACATGCAGATTCTTTTGCTTCTTTTCTGCCAAGTCAGGATTAAATGTGTGAGATGGTATTTCATGTTGGGACTCAGATGTTTATCAGCTCTTATCTCTGTCACAGTCCCACAAACCCTGAGTTCTACAGCACTTCACTCTAACAAACTAAAAATGGAGCCCTGTCTCTCTCTACAAGGCCTTTTAAGGATAAACTGTCCAATTAAGAAATGACACCTAAATTATTTTTAATTTTAACCCAATAACAAACCACCAATGGCCTACAATGTGGAATTTTTATCCAATTACACAAAATCACCCAAACCCATGGAGGAGAAGGAGAAGGAGAAGGAGAAGGAGAAGGAGAAGGAGAAGGAGAAGGAGAAGGAGAAGGAGAAGGAGAAGGAGAAGGAGAAGGAGAAGGAGAAGG